AGGTGACACAGATACTTTATTATGGTATAGTATTTAAATGTATGCCTGAGAAACACATAATATTGCCCCTTTAAGCTTAGTCTCAAAGTAGACAAGAAATTGCCTCACGGACAGAAAGTTGGTTCCAAATATGAGGAGCCTGATAGATAAAAGTTCTAAACAGCTTTAAATTCCAGTTCACTCAATTTTTTTTATTTTATTTTGTAATGCATTAATCATTTAGAGGTTAAAACATGAGTTAAGGAAGAAAAGTAGTTATTTTCTACATCTTTCTGGTGTGGAGGGATGCAATCAGTGAAATCTGTTCTACAACGATTCTAAGGTTTGTGTTAGAGTGAGTCCTCCCGACAGCACGGCGATGACGGCGCCTCAGATGAACGTTGTGATTTACTCCGCTGCCGTCGCTCCAGCTCTCGTGAAAGCTGCTTCTCTCGTGTGGCCTAGGCAACGAGCTTTTTTCCATAGGACTGTTGCCAGGGCAACGTGGAGGCAGAGCAGGGCATCGTGGAGAGGCAAGGAAAGTGCAAGAGACGAAAGAGGAGAGCAGAGCGGAGGGGGAGACGAACGGGGAGAAACGAGGAATGATTGGGAGAGCAGACRCTGCTCTTTGCAGAGATCACATGTTGGGAGCTCAGGTTCACTGTTTGTAGACCGTGCTGCATGACTTATTCTGTGTAGTTTGAAAATCATCAAAAAATGAAAATAAGGAATTAGTAATACATGTTATTTTGCACACAGCTGAACTATTTGAAGGCACTAATGACATGCAGATGCAGAGTTTTTAACTTAAAAGCTTCTTATGAAGGTTAAAATCAAATTTACATATAAAACACACACACACACACACACACACAAACACACACACACACACACACACCTGTAGGAAAATTGTTGCTAGCTCCGATGCCATTTAATCAATCCAACCTGAATGGTAAAAAGGTCAGACTGTGTGACAGGGAGTTTATCTTTTAAACCCAGTTTTCTACCTCATTTACGGTGGAGTTTTCTGTCACAGACTGTAGACAAAAGACGTGAATAATACACCTGCAGAAATCACACAAGGATCAGTTGAATTTCTACCTGCTGTAAACATTGAAAAAAATATATCCTGAGAGAACAAGAACTGTGTAGTCATTACAGATAAGCAACTCTGTCAGTTTTGCAGATGGATTCTCTGTTCTGATCATCCATCCACAATATAGTAATCAGTRAACAGTTATAAAGGTATGTCTAATGTTTACTTTCTGAGAGCTTCTTTAAAATTTGCTTGCTACTTTTTTTTATTTATTTGCCGTTATTTAACCAGGCAAGTCCAATTGAGATCTCAGATCTCTTTTTCAAGGGATGCCTGGGCCTGAAGGCAACCTATTGTACATGTTTGTGTTGTGGGGGAGAACATGCAAACTCCACACAGGTCCAGGTCCAAACCGGGGATCAATSCCAGGTCCTTCTTGYTGTGAGGCGTCGGTGCTAACCACTGAGCCGTGGTGCGGCCATACGTGATTAAATATTTTGCTGACACACACTCCATAACAATTAAAGGTCCAAGTGTTGTACGTGTTCAGTGGTTTGTTAAAAGTCAGAATACACTTTGGAAAAAAAGTGCCATTTACTACCTCACTACATTTAAACTCATTGGGCCTCATGCAAGAACATGTTYGTATTCTTATCCTAAATTTCTCGTACTTTTGTTCGTACAAAGGGTTCGTACRAACATGTCACGTCAGATTCAACAAACTCTTCTGTCTTCAGGAAAAGTGTATAAATGAGGAGCKTAAACTGATGAATGCGTATCCAGGTCCTTGTGCACGGGAAGAGGTGATTAGCATAGTTACCACCCCCAAAAAACACCATAAAAGGCTATACGTTTCCTGCCACACATACCAGGAAGTGTCCATTCATAAGTGACATCGCAAAGTAAAAAAGAAGAACTCTATGAGATCAGAGATTGAAGTTCTTCTCTCGGAGATCCACAAAAAAAGTCATTTTTAGCAGCGTCAGCTGTAGAATTCAAGGATCTGTTTTAAAGCCGAGAAATTAAATGACAACTGCTGTTAATGTTGTGTCTCCTGTGGGTCGTCCAGTCACAGAAATAAAAATCTAAATCATATTTATCTCTCTGTGTAGTCCTGCTCCGGTTTTTCATATTTTTAATTTCAGTGTAAACAATTGTGTTACACAGGTTTCACTTATTCAGAAGAGCATTCGCGCACCGCAACACCCCCCTCCCCGACCGTCGCAAGTGTCAGATGCTTTGCTGGAAAAAAAACATTTTAAAATGTCTCAAAACTTCATTTAACTTCATATTAATATTGCAGTGCTATACGACAGCATTAATAGCCAATTTATTTTAATTTAGCCATTTTGTTGTTAGTCTACATTATTACATTTCAAATTCTAATTCAAACAGAATATCATTTTTCTACATAATTATAGAGTGTGATTTATTTTCAACTCGAAATATCTTCAGACTAATGAAATATTAAGTTATTAATGAAGAAAAACGTCTGGATAGCATAATCATTTTTTTGTGTTTAAAAATGCAGATTAGCTGTGGTGTCCATCTTGAACTGGGCTGACATCATCACCTGGCCTTTAGACATAATACATTTTTTGTTACTTGTCTTTCATTTTGTGTCAGTCCACGTGTAAATCTGTCTCCATCTCCACAGGTAACCTGCTGGTGATTGCTTTTGTCAGTTACTTTGGAGCCAAACTCCACAGGCCGAAGATCATTGCCATGGGTTGTGTGCTGATGTCTCTYGGCACCTTCATCATCGCGCTGCCTCACTTCATCATCGGGCGGTAAGCGAAAACCTATGAATGCGAGTGCTGAACGTGAATATATTTACTGCAGAAATTAGTTTAAAACATAMGTTTTTTGTTTGTTGTTGATGGACATTACTTTCTGACAGGTGAACTGAGATTTTTGTTTGAATTTTTTTATTATTTTTATTTTTTGCCGTTGTGCCTCTGGGTCTGAACTGTTTGTTTGTTTGTTCACAGCTACAAATTTGAAACATCTGTGAGGTGGGTGGTGAACTCCAGTAACAGCTCGCCTCCATGTCGGCGAGGTTCAACAGTAGACTTGATGCAAAACGATGGACCACCTCAGATGCCATCCACAAGTGAGAGTTTAAACAAACCACACAAGCGAAACATTGGAAACAAGAAATTTAATCTTGTATTTTGTTTCCTCCAGGTTGTGACGGTGATTCCAACTTGTCCATGTGGATCTACGTCCTCCTGGGAAATGTCTTGCGGGGGATTGGAGAGACACCCGTACAACCCCTGGGGATCTCATACATCGATGATTTTGCTACTGAGGAGAATGCTGCACTGTATGTTGGTAAGAAAATAAAAAAGGTACTATGCACCATGTCTAGCATTTTTTTTACTTTAACATTACAGCAAATTAGGGATTAAGTCATTTCTGACATTTTTGTCAGACTGTTTAGAAAATGCTGGGGATAAAKCATCAGAAACACTCACACAGCACTCCCAAAACAGCACACATTGTTATTTGCTAACAACAACAGCAGGAGTTAGAGGAGGACAAACTAGTTTTTGTTTTGTTTTTGTCTTATTAACTGGTTGTTTGCATGTTCTGTGCTCAATAGGAACAGATGAACTGCTCCTTGAGGCTGTCTATTTTGCTAATTTAACAATCTGCTTCTGGGAAATGCAGCGAAATGCAAAACACGCTGCTCCGCAAAAAAAAAAAAAAAAAAAAAAAAACATGCCCAAAAACGTCTGACCAATCACACACAGCAAACCACACTGGTCTGCAAGACAGAGTTCTGACTGGGGGCTGCGTACGTGGCAGGGTGTCGGTGGAAGAAAACTGACGGAAGGTATGCAACCTCCGTCACGTAAGACTGTAAACGAGAGGTGTAAATATAAGTATAGGTCCGCCATAGGGAAAGCATATTTCCTGTCAGTATTTCTGCCAGAGGGTTAAACTAAAATCCTCTCATGACGAGGAGCGACAGAGTTGTAACCATTTCAGTCAAAACTTTGTGAATAATGTTATGTACGATTTCTTACAATAATGTGGGACGAGACTTTTCCTTAACACAAACGTAGCTTAGTGTTGGAACAATTAGTGGCCAAGGTGGATTAGCTGTGGTGACCATCTTGAATTAAAATTGACCACAAATGTTAATGAGTTTTTTATTTATCCAGTGACAGGCAACAACAAMAAAAACAACAATAATAATAATAATAATCTGTGATGGACTTGCGACCTGTCCAGGGTGTACCCCGCCCCTCGCACTGTGACTGCTGGATATGGGCACCAGTGACCCTGAAAGGAAGAAGTGTGTACAGAAAATGGATGGATGAATAACAATAACAATAACAATAATAATAATTGCAACAATTGTTGTGGAAGTTTTCCAAGCACATTGTTCAAATCTGTAACACAATCAAGTGACTATATTACCTTCAGTTGTTATGAMATACATCTGACTTTGCATCAAAGCCTCCATTTCAGACACTCCCACTTCAGTATGTTTTCAAACAATGAACCAGGGGAGAGGTTCTCTCTGTGGGGCAGGGGCTTGACTGCAGACTGAACTCCAGGGAGGAGCTTTGTACAAATAGGCGGTGCTTTGTACCAGCAAGAGTTTAGGCAGCTCCACCACAGGAGATTCAAGGAGTTCTAAAACATGCATGAATGAGTCAAAGTAACACTCTGGGTATGTTTTAGATGARGAAATGATATCATAACATGTTATAAAGCTCAGTCAATTTAGCATAAAACCACCCTTTTAAGTATTTGAAGTATTTGATGAGGATAAGTTCAGCCATTACCACACCAACGTTTAAATCAATATCTGTAAATATAGCTAAGTTTTAGTTATATCATCTGAGTGTGTTTGGGCCATCTTGGATTGGGTTGACTCCAAAAGTCAATCAGCTGTAAATGTACACCGAGCAATATCTTTCCGAGAGATATTTTGGCAGGCAAACAAAGACACGTACCAACAAGCAAAAGCATGATGGAGTCTTTGCCTTTGGCTTCTATTAACAGTCTGTGTACATGTGGCACAACTAGACACACAGGACTGAAGATAGATCACAATTAGGTTGCAAGAAAAAATTAAACAATCCCATTTTTTTATGCTTTTACAGTCACTGTATAGGGTTCAAACAGAGAGAWATAGTTCAGTCAGGTTGACTTACTTAATCATAATCATTTTACAAAAGATCAGTGAAATTTTCTGCTATTAAAAATGTCAAATGTTTTGGTAACAACTACTTTACGTGGTTTGTAATCATCCTGTCAGAGGTGAGTTTCTGTGACAGCTCATAAATCCTGTCCATCACTTGGAGAAATTCTACTATGAGTGTGTGTGCATGTGCTTTTATTCAATCTTTCATCCCTCCATCCTGTCTTGCCACATAGCCAGTGCCTGCAGGCAGCTCAGCTCACTGATGAAGTTCCTCACAATCTAAATATGCCACAGGAGAAATGCAGACACACAACTCACATACCATTTCCTGGTTTAAAAAAAGTGTATGTGAAAAAAAAAATATATATATATAT